AAGTTGACATTGTTTATGGCTGAATGACACAGTGTTCTGTCCTGTGGTATAAAAAATGATAAAATATACATAGACAGTGTCTTGTTATTTTGAGGACGGCTATATGTGACGTTTTTTTCGGTATGTGTGATTTCTTTTTCTTCCTGTGACAGTGTGACGATTGTGTAGACTTCGCAGGATGGCACGGCAAGGCCTAGCCTTTCTCTTTAGCAGTATAAGCTGATAACCTAGTCAGCAAATCCCATCTCTCAAAGCACCTTGGTAACCCAAATCATCCTCAACTTTGGATTATATAGTTTGGTGCAAGCAGTGTCGCACGAGTCGCAAGATTTTTAATTAAATTAAGGCATACAGTACCACCTGCGGTACTCCATCTCCAGGTTTGCATTCAGGAATTCTTTTATATTATATGGATTGCCTTAAAAAGAGAGATCGACTAAATTTCGCGCTCAGTTTCGGCACAGAAAGTTGCCATTTGATCACTTCGGCGTAGTTTGGGTTTCGGCAGAAAAAGAAAAGTCATTTTTCGGTTTGTTTTCGGTTTCGGCCCAAACAGCAAGGTTAACTTTTAGTTTATTTTCGGTTTCGACCAAAAGTAATTGAGACACTCGGCCATCTGACTGAAAGTGATTGAGGTTTTCGGTAAACTAAATGAAGTCATATTGTCTTTGAGTTTCAAGGCCTGCAATCCGATATTCATTATTGCTTGACGTTTGGTGTCATCGCATGTTATATGACTAATCCTCCTCGAACACTGCTGGCAGCTGCATTATGACCTATCGGCTACTTGTCCTTTATTTCTAAAAAAATAATTTTCAGTAGGCCTAGGCAAAGGTAAATAGTTTGATGGAAAAAATCTACGTGAATGGTATATTTATATACATGTTACTGACCAAGTAAGAAACGCTAGTATGTATCACTGGTTCGCATGATAATTATGTAGTAGGCCTACTGCAGACTTGTTTACTTTGTCGACCAATTTACGATTTTGAGATGTTTTTTGCGATTGTCCGTCTAGACCTGTCAGAACTATGATGTTAAGAAATCCTGATACACAAAATTTCCCCCACCAATGAGGTTGGGGGGGGGGGGAATTGGTCGCTGAACGAAATAATTACTTCACCATCATGGAAAGACTAGTGTGTTTGTACTAGGCTAAATATTAATATCTATAATTTATTTGTCTGCGTTTTCGACTCTTAGCGCAGTAATGGTAGGATTAAATTTTTAATTTAAGTTTTTGCTACAAATACCTTTTTGAATATAAGGGAAATAAAAGCATGACTCCCAGCGGCAATGGCTTGTCCTTTCTGTTCCACTAATGGGTAGTCCCGTTTGTTCTGTACAAAAATGTGTATTCCTGATCCAACATTAGGTCCGGCCATTCGTTCGTACTCTTCGATGTTTAGAACCAACTCAAGTCCAGAGTATGTACCTGCGACAATGAATAATAAAATATGTTTAAGTTCAGAATATGGTATCGAGAATAGCACCTCGTGAAATCTGAAGGTTTTAATTTTAACTTGCTTGTATCTCTTCTTTTGTATACTACACAGGATGAGTGGAGTGGAAGGGTGTGGTGGAGCAGGCCAGGGCCCTACAGGAGCTGTAGTACCACTTATGATTATGTCTGATAGGAAGTATGTGGTGGAGCAGGCCAGGGCCCTACATGGGCTGTAGTGCCACTGATGATGATGATGTCTGATATAAGGAAGGATATGGTGGAGCAGGCCAGGGCCATACATGGGCTGTAGTGCCACTGGTAATGATGTCTGATGGGAAGGATGTGGTGGAGCAGGCCAGGGCCCTACATGAGCTGTAGTGCCACTGATGATGATGATGATGAAAATGTTTAATGAGGTGTCGCATGTTGCTTGTGTTTATTGTTGGAATTTCACGGTGACACAACTTAAATATCATTAGCCAGAAGATTGTAGGCATTACGGAACGGCCCTGTGCTGGGAACACGGTGCTGCGACTGAACGTGCATTCAGACACGTGCCTGCTCTTTAAAAAAAAGGGATATGTCAATTGATGTCGATTTTCCTATGATGCTCTCGAAGGTTCTTATGTTGCCATATTGATGCCCCGTGGTGTTTAGTACCGACGAAGACGACGCCGCTGCTGGTGTACTCTATAATAAACTGTTAACTACTGAATGTTTAATCTTACGTGTATTGGTTGAGTTTCTGTTATTAATTTCTGTGAAATTTTTTTTTGCTCTACTCTTTCTACTGCTCAAACTAAGTTCTTAAACTAAGCCGGGAATTATACAGGTAGGCCACAAGGGTAATACCGGTAGCAAAACCAGAATGAATCTATGTTTATGTCTATTTGGGGCGATGGAGTTAAACTTATAAATGCCCCCCCCCCCTGTTTTGTTGTTGAAAGAAACACTGTTCAGGCATTTGACCCACCCGGGCCCAGATGCTTTTTTTACCGCATGACTTGAATAGGACATAGCATTCCTTTCGCCAGGACACCGTTGTCGTCAAGACCGCCCTGAATATCCCCTTACCTGGTGACGTAGCCCTCAGCCATCTGTGATTATCCGGACCATTAAACGTAAAACAGAGTCCGTAGTCTGTCATCGTTTTTGAAAAATTATGGGCGCCACAGTCACGCTCCCCTTGAAATTTACATCTGTCATGAATAGTAGGATAATTTCCAGAATTATGTTAGGACTTGTCATTTGATAGTGGAATATTTCATTTAAAAAAAATGGGAGCTCATAAAAGACTTGGAAGGCCCGCATCACCTGAGAATATCGTTATCATAGTATTTTTTTTTTTTTTTTTTTTTTTTTTTTTTTTTTTGTTTTTNAAAAATTCAAGTCTGCCTGGATCCATGTACTCAATCTCGAGTCGAATTTCCAGTGCAGTTCCATGATCGTTAACAGCCCCCCTCCCCCGGTTCCACTTCGGTCCCCCCCCCCCCCCCCCCCCCCCCCGCTATTTTGAAAGCATCAAAACTTATGTCTAATGGCTCACTTCAGTAGCATGTTTTCGATGCGATTCCCCGCCATGAAACTGAGTTGGTCCAAAGTGAGATTAGCCACGCCTGCACTGTAGACGTCCTCCAGGGTTAACTGGTTGTCATACATTTTCCTGATCACAGATAGCAGACCGTGCTCATGCGCCGTGGAGATTCTGCTGAGAATTTTGAGATGTAAGCGTGGAGATAAATTGAATTCAACCAAAATAAGCTTCTAAACCAATAAACGAAGCATCAAAGACTTCAACGATAATATATCTTTGATACCAATGGGCAATGTGGACAGTCAGGTAAACAACGCTAATAACTTGGTCGTAATTTATGACGCCATCATAAATACTAATTATTTACGGGTATGTGTGTATGATCGTAACGCTGCGTTCGATAGGCGCGCAAAATAAAATTTCAAGAGGTAATCACAAACTTCGGCTCTTTTCAAGTGCATCACATAACTGACGGTCTTTTTTTTTCAAGTAGCTTTACTAGATGGGAAGTTCACGCCTTGCCAGCGTTGTCGTTTAGCGGGAAAGTCTAGCTTCATGGATGAAAAATGTGAATGTGGTCACCATCAAGTATCCTATCTATTTCCGGAGACAAAAATTGAATTTCGCAACATACTATTATTCTTCGTGGCGATCAGAATGTCTTCCTAAGCAAACAACTTACAATCGAATAGAAACAGCCTATCTGGAAGCTTGAATCGCATAGTGCCGGCAATAATAATGACGAACACTGCAGTTTTTAACCTGTTGCTATTTATTTTCGTACTTTCATTTGCCATGTCTGCTGAAGAAGATTCTTAGCCTAAACATTCTTCTCTGATTGTATCGTCTTTCTATTCTAGTTTCCACATACCTTCTTATATTATTTCCTTCATAAAAGTAGATAGGAAAACGCAATACACTAATCAAGAACACGGATGGGAAAACACAATACAATAATCAAGAAAGCATGTGGAAAAACATAATAGACTCACAAAGAAAGTGGGTTGGAAAACACAATACAATAATCAAGAAAGTGTTTGGGAAATCACGATACACTAATGAAGAAAGCAGGTGGGAAAACACAATACACTAATCAAGAAAGCGGGTTGGAAAATAATGGTTTGAAGTGGAATCAGAAACATATGTTTCTGAAAACTTTTTTACATAACTCCAACCATTGAGCCACATCTACAGCAGGGCTTCAGCAGAGCCCGAGAACAGCTGTGGCACAGCTACAGAAGAGTTGCATCACAGCTACATAGCTAAGCCACTGCTGAACCACAGTTACTTTAAGATCAGCACGAAGAGGCGGGTGTCTCGTTGCTCCTAAAGTCAAGACCATACTATATGCCAATTAACCTCTTCCAGGAAATCTGCGGTTCGGATAAGCCACTGCTGAACCACAGTTACTTTAAGATCAGCACGAAGAGGCGGGTGTCTCGTTGCTCCTAAAGTCAAGACCATACTATATGCCAATTAACCTCTTCCAGGAAATCTGCGGTTCGGGGTGGGGGGGGGGGTAGGTGGGTTTGAAAGCTGTGGACGTCACCCTGGGGGAAAAAAATCATGAGACTCGACTGTCCCGTTGTTTATACTAAAGTAAATGATATTGAGATAGATTTAAACAAATCAACCACAAGAAATCAAATACTATGTGTAACATATATTTAAAACGAATGTCCATGTCTGTAGATCTGATAAAATTTAAAAAAAAATCACTGGTCTGGCGGATTTTGTTACAAACATTTGTCCCCGATTCGCCAATTTAAACAGTTATCCCTGATTATAATGTCAACACTGTGTAAATAGGAAAATCAGGGATAACTGTTTATAATGTCAAAACAGTTATCACTGACTTTCCAATTTAAACAGTTATCCCTGATGTGCTCATATAATCAGTTACTCCTGATATGCTCATTTAAACATTTATCTCTGACATGGTCATTTTAACAGTTATCCCTGATTTTAGCATATTAAATAGAAAAAAAATACTTTTGTGTTCGACAAACTAAATTTCTGTTCTCACCTAAAAATATTGTCATTGCAGATGGTTACTGCCGGGAATTCGATGTAGTTTGTATAGATCTTATGGACGTTGATGCTGGTAGGATTACTGTTGAAATACTCGTATTCTACGAGTAACTGGAGGGTCACGATGACGAAACCAAGGGAGATAATCAACATCCACACAAACCTTAGGAATGACAAGGGGAATAACAGTGACATTTTTTTTTTAATACGGAAAGTCGTGTCATACTGGGATTTGAAGAAAAAAAAATTATCATGAAATAACTGTGTATGTTGTCGTCTTTGGTGGTGTGCATTATTTCTCTTTCTTTAAATTGGCGGTATTAAAGGCCCACCATACTCTTTGAGTGAAGGACTACTATGAAGGCCGTTTACACTTTTGAATATAAAAAAAAAAATTACGTCCCAACTCTTAGCGTTGGCCTTCAGAATACTTTTTCCGCGTTTGAAGTAAGGAGACCCGGGGTGGGAGATGGGAGGAAAATTGGAAAAAAAAAATTAAACGATAGAAATGTGTCAACTTTGGCGTACGTAAAGAAACTAAAATTAGTTTAAAGACTTCTTCATCTCAGGATAAATATATCGTTTTCACTAGCAGGGAAGGAAATATTTAATTTCAACTAATCTGTTGTTTTTTTTCCGTCCTAAATATTCTAGAAGTAAGGCGAACGGTTTGAAAAAAAAATATTCATTTGCTGAATCCGGCATCAAAAGAGATAAGATATGATTCTTGAATTGATCCAAACAAATGGAAATCTTTTCTGATTGCTTTGTAGATTTTCATCACATAAACAAAACAATATGAACACAAGACTTCTACATTAAATTATTTCACTAGTGAAAAAAAAAAAGAAAAAAAAAAGAACATTCTCTTAGCCTTATCGGGGAGTTGCTAGTTCTCATTAAGATTTGTGACTTCTGTGGGAGCACGCTGGTCAATTCGTAAATAGAGTAGAAATGAGACTAGATCGCGATTAGACTTCGTAAATGACGAAAAGAATTGCTTTATTTGTATTGCAATTGTTTTATTTCTGGTAATATATTGTAAGGTCCTGTACATCGTGGAATAATCGTTCAAAGAATTTTTATCAATTTCAAATTAAAATTATTATAAATATTTCTCCCGTCATCGGGCCACTCATCTATTAGTAAGTTAAATCTGTAGTTACGGGAAAATGGGGTCATGGTGAAGAGAGTTTAAATAGACCCCAATTTAACGAATAGTCTGCCTATAATTTCATTAAAGATTTACCTCCGAAATTGATGTGTGTCAGGAGCAAGCACGTACTGCACACCGTGGAATGTGGTCATTCCTCCGAAATTTTGAAATGCTTTCACGACCAGGGCAGACCTCCTACTCTTCCCTCCCTCAGGCTTGGGGCTCTTGTTCAATGGCATGTTATTGGAAGAGAAATAATTTAATAGTCGGCATCTTGTGCAGTGAGGCCCTCCAGATGACGGTCTAACAGCTGCAGGACTTTTGCTTTCCAACGAGGGACTTTGCGTGTCGCGACAATTTGAGCTCTTGCACGCTGAAACGAATGATGGTTTGATTATAGGATAGATAAATATGCACGTAATGGATTTGTCAAGGCAAAACAAATGTGTGATTTATTGGAAAGTGTTTTGAAAAAAAAAATATTTCTGTAATTTTTAACGTGGACGCTACGTTGATTTGAGCAGTTCAGATGGTTTGTAAAAAAACAATCATGGACTAGTGACGTAGTGAGAGGCATGTGGCCTTAGTTAACGGAACAAACAAACATTACTATGTTAAAGTGAGCAATTGAGAGAGATCGCTCTTTGAAATAACGTAGGGTAGTGAGCAAATAGCATCCCACTACTACATTTTTAGGGAAGCTTTTTTTTTAAATCTCATAGGTTTTTTTTTTCTGATAGTTAATTTTATTATGGACTTCCACTTGCTGACCTGTGTCATGTAACAAAAATGACATGTTTAGATGTTGATATAATTAATACTTGGGGAAGTAATATCTAGTAGATCCACCTGAGATCATACCCCTCAGCTCATATTCACTGGGCGACTCATGGGACACCAAAGACCGGCTTGGCTTTACTGACTGGGCAAATGTTAACTGTTTATCTTCGTGATCATCCGATGCGGTAACGAAGTCAGGGTCGGGGCCACTGTTGGGAGAACCTGTCACATGGACCCCAGATTTCTCGTCCGTCCTCTGTGGAAGGCTTTCCGACATTGCATGCTTAATGGGTCTGTGAAAATTGTGCAGAAATTAATTTCAGATTTGAATTTAATTTAGCCATTCTTTTATGTATTAATTGGGTAGCAAATGCATACAGGAACCTGTAAAAAAAGGAAAGCTATCTGATTATCGTAGAAAGGAGTTAGATTTTTTTTTGTTAAGAAGAAAGAAAACGGAATTCGTTTTAGCGTCCTAAAAAGAAGAAAAAAATCTCTTTGCAACATTCTAATTTATTAAGACACATATTTCAGAAAAACGATGCTAGTAAGCAAAGAAACTAAGAATTCATAATTTTTTTGTGAATTCTTGTATGACAAAATTTTAAAAAAAAATATGAAAGTACAAAAAAGTCTCGTTTTTGAGTTTTCAGCATAGCTGCCTGGGGCGTGTGCAGTCAGTTCTGTGAACTAGTCGTATCTTTGTGGATAACTCTATGAGCAGGCTGTTAAAACAACTAAGATGGTGACTCTGTCATATCGTTGATGTTCTTTTTTAAAATCAAATGTATTTTTATAACTAATTTAACATGAAACCCCCCCCCCCAGCAGATTTCTTCATTGAAATACAAACATGCGGTTGTGGAGTGAAGCGTCCAAGTGATTTCCTTCCGGTGTTCCCTCTTTGATTTTGCTCATACTCATGGTGCCTCACAGCGCTTGATGAATTAGACGGTGCGCATGTAATTATGTGCAATATTACACACACAATGTTTAATTAGTCCTCTGCTGCTAACAGATTTCATCGGACTACATACCAATACAGGGGTACTGGGAGACAACAACATGTGTGATATGATCTATAGAGTATTCTTTTAATCCAATGTTTCCAAATACTTTTTTGTTCCAAGCCGCATCAAAATCTTTCTAAAATTCTTATGCCCCCCCCCTCCAATTATATACATACAATTTTACAATTCAAATAAAAAAGGCTGCTCACTGATGAAACTTGAAATGTAGGTTTTAGGAAGAAATCACTAGGCAAATGTTGAGGAAACAAAAGTAAGTAAATTTTCAAACAATTTAACGGAAACCTGAAATTCAAGTACGAAATAATTTAAGGATTAGTAATTATTTATTTAAATTTATGAGATGTTTGTACTTGATGCTTACTGCAAATAAATTTTATGTTAGCTTCCAATTTATTTATTTAGCTTCAGTTTGAAGTCTCCCCGTTGTGTTAAATCCAGCCGAATTATTTTGTGTCCCAAAAAAATTTATGGTACTAAATTCACATTCAGCTAAATATGAAGCTGGAAATGGCAACAATAGTGTTCATTGATATGTAGTTGAAGTTGAATATTTGAAGCCATGCCATATCTTCTTTTTTATATTAAATAAAGTTTTAACTGACTCACCATTTTGCATTTCTGTGAGTTCTTCCTAAAAATTCATACTTGAAAAATCAGAAGAGTCCATTAACATTAACGGTAGTTGGAAAATAAATTTGTTTCAAATAAAAAAATCTGTTAAATTGGCCGATAGAAGTTTCAGATTACCAACAATAACAAGTATAGCGGTAACAGTCACTTCACATTTTGGGAGCCATTGAAACTTAACACATGTTTTGTTGTAAATATTTTCTGACATAATTCAATAAAGATAGTGAAATCAAATATCTTCGCAACGACAAGAGTTTTATTTGTTCATTGAAGATGGTTATTGCATATATTTAGTTTTCCCAAAGATGTGGGCTAAAATAACGCACAAATGCTTTACCATCGACCGTTAGCATATACTTCATATCAGGTTTGTCCCTATAAAAAATCACAAGAATATCAAATAGTTCCATAACTCTTGTCAAGCAATTCCCTTTTGAAAGCCATCTTACTTCAAAGTGAAGTAGAAGTATCAGTCTACATTTTGTTCTTCACAAAAGCTTGAAGAGACGTTCACATTAGGCATTAGCTTTAGTAGCATAGATACACCTTATGACTGAATTTAGTACTTCATATGGAACAGATGAAATGTTTTTAGCTCCTAAGATTTCATTAAGAATGACACAATGAACAAGTAGCATTTCCGGATTCTCATCTTTCATCAATTTTAAGCAACCATTTTTCTTGCCCATCATATTAGGAGCACCATCTGCAGCACTAGATGTTATATTTTTATTGGTAAATTATTGACATCCAAGTAATTTTTAGCTTGTCTTTGGCGTTAGTAGAGCTTTCTAATAATTTAATAACAACATTTCTTCAGTAAAATAACATTAATCAATTATCTTACTTATATTATCAATACATCATCACTGTGTCACAAATTCGATTCATCAATTTGCACTGCAAATTTTCTTGTTTTGTGTTTTTCAAAAAGTTTTATTTCAATATGTTGATACATTTCATCTAATCTTCTGTGAACAATATTATTACTGAGTGGCATAGCTTTCACGTCTTTGTCATATTTGTCCAGAACTATTTTAATAAATGCTGATATTCGTTGTTTTATTTAATTCTCTCATATAGTATGATTTTTCAAAGATTTAGCGATGAGTACGAAAATTTCATAACTAGCCTCAAGAGTACGATTCATAGTTGCAGTATGAGCAGTAAATATAGATTTTAATGTTGTTCTTTTTTATAATACAAGTCAAATCGTAGTAGACCGTTGGTTTTCAAATTCTAAAAAGCTCATTGTCCAATTGACCCCAACACAATCAAATTGCCCGCCCCAGTTGGTGCGTGGACTCCACGTTGGAAAACACTGATCTTATGGTGTTACCACCTCTGTTTTCTTCTATCTGTAGTTCAATAATAACCTAGATTCAGCATTACTTTGACATATCCTAATCTAATACAACTTTAACTGAAGCGAGCATTATCTGGAGCCAGCATAATCTGGAGCCCGCAATACCTGGAGCGAGCATTACCTTCAACATTCATTATTTGAGGTAAGCACTACCTGGAGTGAACATAAAATATGTCATTAACACCCCAAAAATGCACACATTGAACACCAACAATTTTAAAACATACAAACTCACACATCGCAAAATGCATATTCTAAGGAACAAGACGAAAAATTAAACGTACAACACTTTTATGACCTAAACTAGAAAAGGTTGTTGGGGGGGGGCGGGGGTTAATTTACAAGAAATACAAACCTACAGCACACAGAAGCACATTTATAGGACAGTCGTATAGTATGTTGGAATCAGGTAGTATTGTGAAGGTTTTTTTTTGTAGGGTTTTCTGATGGTCATGGCGTATTAATTAAGGGGTGATAATCACATAATTTTAAATTTTATTTTAATAAATAATTTCCTTTGTTGTTGTACGATGATTTTAATTAATCGTGTTGTTGTACGACGGTTTTAATTTTTTTTTATCGAGATGTTCTCATTTTTATAATTAGTATTCTGATTATGTAATTTAATTATGTATGGTTCTCATTTTTATAATGAGTGGTTATCAAAATTAAAGACAACATAAAGACAACAAAGAAGTATGCTGTAGTTTATATTTAATTTTTCAAAACAATCATTGTTGCATCACCATTATATTTAAGTACATATTTTATCACAATTTTTATTATGTACATACTTAAGTACAGTAATAAAAGTACAGATTTAAGCACATATTTTATCACAAGTATAGATTTTATCAAAATTTTTATTACAAACAGATTTTATCACAGCTATAGCTTTGTCACAATTTTTATTATGTTCATATGTAAGTATTGATTTGTCATAGTATTAAGTACATATTTATCACAGTTTTTAAATATTACAAGGTCATCAAGTCAAAGTCGACAAGTCGTTCACATAGTGCTGTGTGTGGTGTTGCGCATGTCTTAGAGGATTCAAAACTACCTAAATGGCCAGAGGGGATTTTGTAACATTGTCTGCGTGTACCTGTCTTTTTATTTAAATATAGGAAAGAGAATTTCTGTGTTGCGTGTACGTATAGACAGCTGATCCCTGTGTTTTAAAACCGATGTTTTTTCCGCCCCAGCTTGTTTTGTTGTAAGAACGTTCAGTTTGTCTACAGCGTTGTGTGGTTTTGTAAAACCTTTTGTGCTTGTTTTTGGTGTGCTTACCGAAACAGTGGCAAGTTTTGATACAAAGTGAGACTATACCCAAACCCTCATACTTAAATTTAAAAAGCCTCGGAGTTCTATTTTCATATAATTCTCTATCCCTACAATCCTGACAATTTAATCCTACGCTGCCCTTGTCACTAATGAATTTTGATCTATGAAAATTACAATTTTTGGAGGGAAAACATTGGTCGTTAACAGTATAAAAGTCCTGTCAGAGGTGGGGTCTTACGACGTCGGCTAAGTCAGTCGTGCGAAAGGCTAAATAAAAATTGTCTGTATCCATTTCACAGAGTTGAAAATCAGTCCTATCTATGTACCTCTCTATAAAATTATAGTCAAACTCAAACATCCTAAGCTTTGCGTATGAATAAACAAAGAAACCTATCTGGAGGGGGAGATCTCATTCTACTTTCTTTTTTTAACATCTCTACTTCAAACAGGTTTTCCCCTTGTGCATTAAAGACCATAAATATAATGCGTTTGCATCGTAGCCTTTAATCCTCTGGACCGGTTTATCCCTATTCCCCCTAATCAAAGTCTGTCCTATTCGTGGTACCTATGAAATATTATCGACGGTCCACCAACAATGTTATCTCTTCTGGTTCTATATAACCTGGCTTCCCGCTTCGACCAAAAAAAAAAAGTCTTTAGGTGGTGCAATGAAAAATGCTTTAGAGTGACTCCAAGGACGGAAATTGCGTCTTTAAACATATCTACATCTAGACCTTCGTAAAAAATGAACCTGTCTTTCTAGTACCTGTTAAAAAGAGAACTACACCTTTATTATTGTACCAAATAAGAGAATCTTTTAAAGTTGACATGCCCTCTTTTACCAATTCCATTTGACAATGCGCGCACTCTTCGTCGGATTTATTACACTTTTTTTAGAGAAGAAAAATGCCGACTGCGGTGGTAAGCTGGTTTCCTCAACTGTGCTAGTACTTTTTATATATTCATAATAAAAGTCCCTTTGGTTCTTAAAAATTATACACCGCTAGGTATTTTGCTATAACTAAAGCCAGCCGCTAGATAATTAACGAAATCTAAAAACTTTAATCTCGCGGTTGAAATGCGCATGAAATTATTGTTTCGTTTAGCTACAAATTTAAATGGGGACTTTTGTGGAGCCATCTTACAATTTTCCCTTTCGTTTTGTCCGCGGAGTCGTCATCATCACCACTATAACAGTTCCTACTTTGGCCTTCATACGCTTACCAGTCTTCGTCTGTGGCTAAAGATACAAAATGTTTAAAGAAGTAGGGTTTGATTAAGATAATGTCAAATATCCCCGAATTACAACCTATTTCTTGTAGTTGCTTTAAATACCCATCTAATATATTAATGAGACCCGAAATCCTCTGCACCTTTAGCGCCGGGAGACGCTAATGCTGGCGCCCGTTGACGAAAATCATCTAACTGCCATTTCAAGGTTTCGAATGATCCATCGCTAATGCGATGAGGAAAATCAATCATCCTAGTCGATACACCCCTCCCTTATGATTATGTATCGACTTATTCTCAGTACATACCTTTTCATGTCTGTTCAGGAGGTTAAATTCCCGCCACAGTTTACCACACTTAGAAAATGAGAAGATATGCTCTGCCCTATCTATATCATTAATGTACATGAAATTTTTTTTTTTTTTAATAAAAGATAAAGCGTTTCCCTAAAACTATTTCCACCTAGGAGCTTTGGAGTAAGGATCTCTTCATCATTATAATTTTAAAAATATCTATGTTAATATTAAAAAAAATCTGATCCAAGGCCGGAATCTCTTTTAAACTCACCCCAGGGACACGACAGAGATGTTTTCGACTTTGCATAACACAACCGCCCAAACACAAAATATGTTGTAGAAGCCGTAACAGCCACTAGTTTTTTTTAATTTATATCACTTTCAAGATTATCCAAAAGGTTGTTGTCTCACTGATATCCCACATCACATTTGATTGAATAGGACCATCAGTAATTTAAAACACGACTCAAACTCAAAACCTTACCATGACAATTTTTAATTTTTTTTTTTAGATGTTTAGCTGTGGCCAGAGGGAGTTCCATTAAAGACCGTATAACAAAAACACAACAACTCGTGAAACAGTGGCAACTCTGGTATATTTCCCTGGGATTAGTTTCTAAGTGGGGTGTTTTCTGCCCCCCCCCCCACACTCATCTATTTTAATTTTTTTTTTTAGATGTTTAGCCGTGGCCAAAGGGAGTTCCATTAAAGACCGTATAACAAAAACACAACAACTCGTGAAACAGTGGCAACTCTGGTATATTTCCCTGGGATTAGTTTCTAAGTGGGGTGTTTTCTGCCCCCCCCCCCCACACTCATCTAGCATTTGACCAATGGCACTGCCTCACCACCGAAAATCTGAAATGCACCTCGCCAGAGGTAACTGTGTGAAAGAAACACAGCTGATAGTTAAGCCTTGGAATAACGACAGCCTTAATTAGTATGGCTCTGGTCTTCATCTTTATTTTTTAGTGTCTTGATAGCGGGGCGGCTGACTGCATTTGCCAGCTGCATTCTTGCATGTGGTTCATCCATCTTTTCCGGCTTCGGGGAAAATGCTTCCAATATATATATATATATATATATATATATATATATACTCTTGGTTTTGTCGTAGCCGCAGACCATAGATAATTATTTCCATTTGTTTTTTTCTGGGGTAAGGCCAACTGACATAACCTCATTCCAGAAAGTCCGCAGGTAATGTCCAGGATATAACGAAAAAAAGCCAGTCATGGGGGTTAATTGTAAAGGTGTAAAATTTGCCTCGCGAAGACAGTGTCAATGAGAACATACCAAGTGAAAGTAGAATCCGAAATAGACATGATGAGTATTGTTTTCTGAAGAATACGCGTTGACATCTGCGCACACTGAAGACTCTGCAGAACGGAGATTGCGCTGCAAGGCATCTTGCCAATAATGAACGAAGACGAGCAGGAAGTAAGTCATTATTGTCGCACTAAAGAGACATGTAGACTTTTACATATTTATATAGGAATAAAAGTGGTTTTGATTGATTTAATAACACAATTTGATATTATTTTATAAATAGCTTTACAAAAAATTCGTCGGGAAAATTATCGACATTGGACAGGACAACTTACGCTATTTTTGGTACCATTTTTATTTAGATGTCAGCCATTTTGTCTAATTTCTAAAATAAGTTATTGTTTTTAAGATTTAAGATTTTCTGAAACCCATAATGTGCTCGTATTTTTTGCTATGCAAATTGGAGGACCTTTCTCTGACAACTCTGAGCCTTGGACTTTGACGGCAAATTATTGAATTAGGTACATGTCGTAAAGTGGTTGAGGTATAGTATATTGTTACAAACTTTGTTATGCTTCAACTATCTCCAAATCTAACGACCTTCTTATG